ACATATCTTCCATTCTATCAAATGAGACCAAGAGACCATGAATACATATAACCACTCTGTGAAGGTACCTAGGGATTGGTACCTAGGTACTAGCAGAGAGCATGCATAGCTCCTTTGTATAAAGGCAAAGGGGATAAAAGAGAATACAAAAATTATAGGGGAAGAAGTCTGCTGAGTATACCTGGTAAAGTGAATGGAAGTTATTATTGAAAGAATTAAGAGTAAGACAGAGAGTAGGATAGCAGATGAACAAGGAGGTTTTAGGAAAGGTAGGGGATGTGCAGACGAAGTGTTTACAGTGAAACATATAGGTGAACAGTATTTAGATAAGGGTAAAGAGGTTTTTGTGGCATTTATGGATTTGGAAAAGGCATATGACAGGGTGGACACGGGGGCAATGTGGCAGATGTTGCAGGTGTATGGTGGAGGAGGTAGGTTACCAAAAGTAGTGAAGAGTTTTTATGAGGATAGCGAGGCTCAGGTTAGAGTATGTAGGAAAAAGGGAGATTATTTCCCAGTAAAAGTAGGCCTTAGACAAGGATGTGTGATGTCACCGTGGTTGTTCAATATATGTATCTATAGATGGGGTTGTAAGAGAAGTGAATGCGAGGGTCTTGGCAAGAGGTGTGGAGTTAAAAGATAAAGAATCAAACACAACGTGGGAGTTGTCACAGTTGCTCTTTGCTGATGACACTGTGCTTTTGGGAGATTCTGAAGAGAAGTTGCAGAGGTTGGTGGATGAATTTGGTAGGGTATGTAAAAGAAGAAAATTAAAAGTGAATATAGGGAAGAGTAAGGTAATGAGGATAACAAAAAGATTAAGTGACAAAAGATTGGATATCATATTGGAGGGAGAGAGTATGGAAGAGGTGAATGTATTCAGATATTTAGGAGTAGACATGTCAGCAGATGGGTCTATGAAGGATGAAGTGAATCATAGAACTGATGAAGGGAAAAGGGTGAGTGGTGGACTTAGGAGTCTGTGGAGGCAAAGAACTGTCTGTGGAAGCCAAGAGGGGACTGTATAATAATAATAATAATAATAATATCTTTATTTACTACGAGTACATGTACATGGTACACAGGCCTAGCTGACAACAATGACATACTACTATATAGAGAGCCCCTTGTTATGCTCTGCATGTCAGGCAAATTAGGTCAGTGTCCCAGGATGCGACCCACACCAGTCGACTAATACCCAGGTACCCATTTTACTGATGGGGAACATAGACAACAGGTGGAAAGAAACATGCCCAATGTTTCTACTCTGGCTGGGAATCAAACCCAGGCCCTCACCGTGTGAAGCGAGAGCGTTAGCCACCAGAGCCACCGTATGAGAGTATAGTTGTACCAACACTCTTGTATGGGTGTGAAGCATGAGTGATGAATGTTGCAACGAGGAGAAAGCTGGAGGCAGTTGAGATGTTTTGTCTGAGGGCAATGTGTGGTGTGAATATAATGCAGAGAATTTGTAGTTTGAAAATAAGGAGAGGGTGTGGGATTATCAAAGCTACTATCCAGAGGGCTGAGGAGGGGTTGCTGAGGTGGTTTGGACATGTAGAGAGAATGGAACAAAACAGAATGACTTCGAGTGTGTTTAAATCTGTAGTGGAGGGAAGGCGGTGTAGGGGTCGGCCTAGGATGGGTTGGAGGGAGGGGGGTAAAGGAGGTTTTGTGTGCGAGGAACTTGGACTTCCAGCAAGCATGCATGAGCGTATTTGATAGGAATGAATGGAGACAAATGGTTTTTAATACTTGAAGGGCTGTTGGAGTGTGAGCAAAGTAACATTTATGAAGGGAAGGAAAACCAGCAGGTTGGACTTGAGTCCTGGAGATGGGAAGTACAGTGTCTACACTCTGAAGGAGGGGTGTTAATGTTGCAGTTTTATAACTGTAGTGTAAAGTACCCCTCTGGTAATTTAGTGATGGAGTGAATGATGATGAAAGGTTTTCTTTTTCAGGCCACCCTGCCTTGGTGGGAATCGGCCGATGTGTTAATAAAAAAAAATAAAAACAATATGAAAATACATCGTAATGTCGCTGTTTTAAACCAAAAACACTATCATCAAAGTTTTTTCTCACTGTTCACTGCGTGCTGCAGGATTTTTTTATATGGTACACACTTACCACATAGACTCATTCTCTCATATCTAGGACCAAATTTACTGCTCACGGCTTATCTGAGTGAGGTGAGCTCATGCCGTAGAGCAACAGCATGGACCCTGGCTTTGGACCTTCAAGTGGTTAAACTGTATCCACCTGCTTTTAATAACTGTCTTACTCTCATCTATCATAACTGCTTTACCCCCTTTCATTCTACCCACTGCCTCATGCATTTCCCCCCCAGACATCTGGCTCTTCCTCAATCATAAAGATGTTATATCTGCCAGTCCAATGGAATAATCACTGCTTCCCTTTCTTCATCAACAATGAATAATAAAAATGTTCCCTCCATCTTCCCAGTACCTTCACTTCCCTATCTAGTAACTCCCCTCCTTTATTTTTAGCTACTAAATCCATTTGTTTCCTAGGCTGCCTCAACTTATTGATCTCACTCCAAAACTTTTTTCTAATTCTCAGCAAACTTTGATGATAAAACCTCTTTGACAATCTCATTCACTCTTCTTTAGCACTCCCTCACCATTCTTTTAACTTTTCTTACTCTGTATATACTCCTCCCTTTAAATATCACTTCTACATTATAAAAACCTTTCATATGATAACCTTTTCTCCTTCTCTACCCTCTTTACCACATTCCACTAACTGCTTCTCTTCCATCCACCCTCCTATACCCACAAACTTCTGCTATTTCCTATACCCACAAACTTCTGCTATTTCCTATACCCACAAACTTCTGCCATTTCCTATACCCACAAACTTCTGCTATTTCATATACCCACAAACTTCTGCTATTTCCTATACCCACAAACTTCTGCTATTTCCTATACCCACAAACTTCTGCTATTTCCTATACCCACAAACTTCTGCTATTTCCTATACCCACAAACTTCTGCTATTTCCTATACCCACAAACTTCTGCTATTTCCTATACCCACAAACTTCTGCTATTTCCTATACCCACAAACTTCTTCTATTTCCTATACCCACAAACTTCTGCTATTTCCTATACCCACAAACTTCTGCTATTTCCTATACCCACAATCTTCTGCTATTTCCTATACCCACAAACTTCTGCTATTTCCTATACCCACAAACTTCTGCTATTTCCTATACCCACAAACTTCTGCTATTTCCTATACCCACAAACTTCTGCTATTTCCTATACCCACAAACTTCTGCTATTTCCTATACCCACAAACTTCTGCTATTTCCTATACCCACAAACTTCTGCTATTTCCTATACCCACAAACTTCTGCTATTTCCTATACCCACAAACTTCTGCTATTTCCTATACCCACAAACTTCTGCTATTTCCTATACCCACAAACTTCTGCTATTTCCTATACCCACAAACTTCTGCTATTTCCTATACCCACAAACTTCTGCTATTTCCTATACCCACAAACTTCTGCTATTTCCTATACCCACAAACTTCTGCTATTTCCTATACCCACAAACTTCTGCTATTTCCTATACCCACAAACTTCTGCTATTTCCTATACCCACAAACTTCTGCTATTTCCTATACCCACAAACTTCTGCTATTTCCTATACCCACAAACTTCTGCTATTTCCTATACCCACAAACTTCTGCTATTTCCTATACCCACAAACTTCTGCTATTTCCTATACCCACAAACTTCTGCTATTTCCTATACCCACAAACTTCTGCTATTTCCTATACCCACAAACTTCTGCTATTTCCTATACCCACAAACTTCTGCTATTTCCTATACCCACAAACTTCTGCTATTTCCTATACCCACAAACTTCTGCTATTTCCTATACCCACAAACTTCTGCTATTTCCTATACCCACAAACTTCTGCTATTTCCTATACCCACAAACTTCTGCTATTTCCTATACCCACAAACTTCTGCTATTTCCTATACCCACAAACTTCTGCTATTTCCTATACCCACAAACTTCTGCTATTTCCTATACCCACAAACTTCTGCTATTTCCTATACCCACAAACTTCTGCTATTTCCTATACCCACAAACTTCTGCTATTTCCTATACCCACAAACTTCTGCTATTTCCTATACCCACAAACTTCTGCTATTTCCTATACCCACAAACTTCTGCTATTTCCTATACCCACAAACTTCTGCTATTTCCTATACCCACAAACTTCTGCTGTATACTCTAACACTTCATTCTTCAGTCTACCTGATATCTCTTTGACCTTATTCACACCAACTGTATTCTCTCTAGCCCTCTTACTCTTAACAACTGCTTATATCCTACCCTAAATATCTCCTTTTCTAGTTTATTAACTCTCATCTCCCTCTTACCCACTTATGACATTCTTGTACATATATTTATATAGGCAAAAAAAAAAAAAAAACTGCCATTGAGTAAAATATGGTACACATGATGGTGTAAAAACATGTGGGCACAAGTACAGTGTAACTAACTAACAGTAAATACAAAATAATGTTCATAATTCATCACTTAAAATATTCAGTTACTTGAGACAAAGTAATAATATACATGTACATGTATGTACTATCATTCACACTATTAACTTTGTATTTGTAAACGAGACAGATGAATGTGCCTCCAAAATTGGACATCACATGGAAAAAGCCTTCATAGTATGCACTATTTGATCTTAGATGTACTGTTTCAATCACATTTAGAAAAAAAAAAAATAGACAAGAAAGCTTTATAAGAAATTTTTCTGAAACCTGTAAAAAGTATGTGTACTGTACATTAATTTGTTGCACATGTCATGCTGGATCACAACCTTTGCAACTAAAAAAAAATCCTGACCTACCCTGCCCATTTTTTACATTACCAGAAATACTCAATATTCTTGGGGTAGCTTAAGGTGTGTCTAATTAAAGGTGTGTTCCACACCTTCAACATTCACTAAGGACCCTGTCTTACCAAAGATGCCCTGAAGGGAAGCTGATGAGACTCAGGCAGTGCCTTTATATCAGAAGGGGAGAAAGAAGTGATGTGGGTGTACCAGCGACACACTGCCGGGTGAGTGTCAGGGGCTGGGGCACCTGAGAGCCGCTGTGCCAACATAGAGTCAGTCTGGCAGGGCATGTAACCATATATGTAGCTGTACTGAGTGAGGTGGCTCTCCAGAGCCTCCAAGTCCGGTGCCACACTCCTAGCTTCTGCCTCTGTGTCGTTCTTGCCTCTCGCTGCCTGCCAGGAGACCACAACTCACCTCAGTCCTAATACAATTCCACTCTTAACATGTATACACTAAACTCTAAAAATCAAATTCAATAGTAAAAATCTTTATTTCTAAGAAGCATATTTGGAAGAAGTTCATTTTGGTTACAGTTTTGATACAATTAGGATACAAAAAATGATAAACTGTAATTGCCTATTCAATAGAAAGAATTGAATATGCAAAACATTTTGAGAAATCTCTCTCATGAAGCTATTATACACTGTGATTTCTTGCAACTGCAACTGACAAAGTGCATCCATATAACACATACCTTGATGGCCTTTTTCATGTGCTATTCAATTTTGGATGTACTTTTTTCAATTACTTTTAAAAAATTCATGCTAGAGGAGCTATCTCATAAATAAGGAAAACATATCAAGCTGTAAAAGTAATCTGTACACTTCAGCATCTAACACAGACCAGATTCCTTTAACACACTAGCTACCTTTGATATACCTTTGAAGAATTTCGAGAGTATATCTACTCTCTGAGCCCGGCCATGGGCCAGGCTCGTCTGGTGCTCGCCTGGTCAACCAGGCTGTTGCTGCTGGAGGCCTGCTGCCCCACATATCCATCACAGCCTGGTTGATGCTATCTTCCACCGAGATCAGGACAGTCATTTTCTGTCATCACCGTCATTCATTAGATCACTACCTGGCCAGAAATGTGCTGCCATCACAGCACAGATGACCCTCTGAAATATAACATCCCCACTCATAATTCTGAGTGCAGGCACTGTACTTCCCACCTCAAGGACTGAAACATCCCCACTCATCAATCAGAATGTAGGCACTGTACTTCTCACCTCCAGCACTGTAACATCCCCACATGTCCTTCAGAGAGCAAGCACTGTATACTTCCCACATCTAGGACTGTAACATCCCCACCTATCCCTCAGAGTGTAAGCACTGTATGTGACAGAAGAGCAGTTGCTGACAACCCACATTCCATATTAGAGGGCAGAGTTAGTCATGTTCATCACTTCTCCCTTTTGCATTGCTCGATTATCTATTTTTGTAACTTGATTTAGATTATTCTGTTGCAGAATGCAAGTAGTTTAGCGAGACAAGACTAACCTTCCCTAAATCCATGGTGACTTTCTGTAAAAAAAACAAAAAGTCTACCTCTCTACAGTAAATGCTCAACCAATGGGTCAGTAGATGCTGTATATGAAGGAGAAGACTCATGTCATCACTCTCATGGAAGAGGTAGACCCTATGAAGGATACTGCTGAGAAGTTGGGATGCACCCCAGAGTCTATCAGGAACCTTAAATAACAGCAAGCAACTTGCATCATGGTACCACTCTCATCAAGCAGAGGGGAGTCTGGGGGGCCCAGGAAGCCCATCCCATGCACTGATGCTCTTCTCAAGAAGGAAGACATGCTAAAGCCTACAATTACTACTTAGGAACTAAAGAACAAGCATCCTGATGTTTTGTGAGAAGTGGCTGTGTGCACTATCCAACATCACCTGTAACAGGATCTAAGGATGCCATGTCAGAGGGCTACCAAGAAACCCGTTATCACCAAGAATACATGTTCAGTGGTTCACTTGTCCTGATACCCCATGTGGAGTAGACCCTTTACTGACATTTCCATTATGCAGTGGGGGAAACATTGTTGGTGAAGAATCTTATCACACTGCATTTGTGTCTGTTTCCATCATGTCAGTATGCCATGCCATTTATCGCAAACATAACACGCTAAAAGGAATCCTGGATGAGCCTTCATGACTCTTAGGTGTTTCTATTCTGACCACTGTTCATCAGTGACCCAGGACCCACACAAGACATCCTGGGAGAAGTTCAAAAGGTGTTTTAACATACATCACATCCAGTGTATCCCTTGCCACACCCCTGGATCACAATATCTACTCTATACACACAACAGAATTCCTTTTAGTTCTTGCTTTGGGGGTCCATGTAGGTGCCCTAAATGTTTTCCATGGGTACTTACCGGAGATCAGTTATAAGGGGCCTTCTACCCTCTTTACCAGATCCCAAACCAGGCTTCCTTACCTCACTTAATGGTCACCTACCTGTGTCAGTTACGAGGGTTAATCTATCCTGTCAGGTCATACATCAGGCTACCTTCCTTCACTCAATGGTTACAAACACTGTGTCAGTTATGACAGTTCTTCTATCCTCTCCATCAAGTCCCAGACCAGGCCTCCCTCCTCCCCTCAATCTTTCCACTTCATTCCAAGCAGCTCCTCATCATTTTTTCCCCAACAAGAAAGATAAGACTCATATTGTTTACAAGACAATCATATATTTACCAGTTAATTCCACACTCTTCTGTGATTTCAACATAAACGAGCACTTTCAATGGTCCTCCTATGGTTTTAAATTCTCTGCAGCTGAGCCTCTTCATTCCTTTGTCTCTGGGTTTTACCACCACCTCTAGACTCATCTCCAACACATTGAAATGATTCCTTACATCTGCCTGAACCAGGCATGACCTCAGAATAAAAGTAAAATCCCTTGACACCATACATGTGAAATGAAAGCCTGTGAAGGTACTTCCCTCTTGTCTGACCATTGTGAAATGATCTTTAAATAGTTTATATTCTGACAGGAATGCTGATCTTTTCTTTCTGGCTCATTAACATATAAGTAAATCTGATAAACCTTTTTGTATTTGTTCATGTCAGATGAGTCTCTGTGTTTGTGGATTGGAGAGTCTGTGGAGGATGTCTGAGAAGGTTTGAGAGTCAAGGGATTACTTGTTGAACATTGTAATTGCTGGTGACAACTTGTGCAGTTTTCCTATAACAATGTTAACTATTTGCAGGATCAAAGCACTGGAAGAAATAATTCTGCTCAGTAATAGTATAGTACTGTACCTAGAATTTAAAATTAAATGTACATACTGTAGCAGTTTCCATATTACAGAACTATTCAAAGTCTTGTTTTAATTTAGGAACATGTGCAGCAATACATAAAAAGAAATACAAAATATGGAATAAGAAATGTTACAATAAAAATTCACAGATCTACTTATTGTAACCAGGTTCCTACCCATAACTTTAAACTGCACACCTAGGCATGAGTCTTGTGAGCCTTGGTAAGTGGCCCTGTACTGAGTGTGAGGGCACGAGTACTGAGTGTGAGGGCACGAGTACCTTCCTCTCTCTCACTCCCTGACAGCCTCCCTGTCCAGTGACATTCTTATGGTCTATGAACTAGGACAGCAGTATATTTCTGTGACACTGATACAACCCCTGACATGTCTAACTCCTTCACTGACTACACAATCTCGGTGAATTAGGTATCAATGCTCATATGCTTTAGAGTTAGTTAAAGCTCATGTATTGGAGTCAGTGTGGACTACACCATGCATACATACTTTATATAGGTGGTATATAGGTACACCCGTTGTATTTTCTTTGCATATTTTTTAATTTTAAGTTTTATCTCTCAGGCAGTGTGTACTATACAACCTGTATCATAGGCCAGGGCAGTAATGCTCTTTCACGTCACATGTCACAGATGGATTGATGCTTCTCAATGTGTGGACAATGTATGACATCCTATGTAACCCTGAGCCAATTGTACAGAGATTTATGTTCCAGTGCTGTCTTAACATCCCCCATTCATCACCATCTCTGTCAGTAAACCAGCCCTTTTTTTATCTCTCTCTTCTGCAGCCAGTATTACAAGGTTTTTTAGGGCCCAGTTATTTTACCATTTCTATAAAAGGGTAAGCCAAAGTCAAGTTCCACAGGAGCATTTCAGTTTTTACTTGCTGCATGTCAGTGCTGTCGGCTCGGGATGACTCAAGATGTGTGGCCAAGTGATGTAACCAGGTTCTTAACGATAACTTCAAAATGCCTGCTTAGGCACGATTCTTGTAGGCCTCGGTGCATACTCCTAACTCGCCAGCTACCATGCCAATCAGCCCTGCAATCATGGACAAGGTGGATTGTCCCATACTGGCACCTCTACACAACCTATTATTTAAATAAATACATAATAACCTTCATTATTACTAAACAAAAATGAAGTACATGTATAGTAAGTGATAGAGTGAAGACTTGTAATACTGCTGTATAAAAACCCTTAATAAGAAGTTGAATGCAAAACAATAAATTAATAAACTATGTACTACTGTACACACAATGATGAAGCTTGTCCGTACAGCACAACAAAACTTCACATAGGCTCACCTTCTTTTTTTCCCCGACTGTCTTGGAGATAACATTGGCCACTCTATTGAGGAGATCACCTTTGTGACGTGCTGCAATCATATAATTATTATTATTCAACAAACATTTATATTTCTTGGCTCTCCCACCTACCCTACTACATGCAACGATGAGAATAAACCTACAATGTAAATAATCTGTAAATGAACTTAAAATGCCAAATGAAGGGATGAATCAGGAGGATCTATTACAAAATGTAAGAAGTCTATTCATATCAATTCTAATGAATCAAGACAATCTTGCAGCTAAAATGCACTCACACAATTGCACAATATACCATTAATCCTATCACTGTCAGCACCCCCAAACTGGAAGCTCCTTTCTGTGTTGACATTTTTTAAAAAAAAAAAAAAATAATTTGGCTTTAAAATAGGAGAGAATCTTTTTTAAAGGACTTTGTTCAGAGGGAATGGGGCTTAAGACAGGATTTTAACCTAAGGGGCTGTGAAAAATGATACGATGCTGGAAAAATAAAAGAAATCATTTTAAAAACATGTGATTTTCAGTATGCATGTGAAATTTCTTAAACTTTAGTGCTTTTATAGACCCTGGTCAAAATAATACTGTACAGTAAAAAATTAGATATTAATTTGAAAAAATAAGTACAGTGGACCCCCACCTTACGAACGCATCACGTTACATTAAATCCGCTATACGAAGCATTTGAACGCAAAAATTTTGCCTCGCCTCACGATAAAAAACTCGCCTTATGTGATTCGTCCAGGACGTGTCCCACGTGTGGCCTCAGTGCCAGTGTTTACAAGCCAGCCAGTGCGGTCGCATCTACGCATACATTCGGTACATTTCACATTATCCCAGTGTTTTTAGTGCTTGTAACTGCAAAATAATTCACCATGGACCCCAAGAAATTATACGTGCCATCCTTGTAAAAAGGGAAATTAGTATGAATTGAAAAAAGAGATAAGGAATGGTGAAATGGTCTACTCACCTTTACGGATAAAATTGACACAGTTGCATGTGGAACCTGTACAATGAAATTTTGACCCATTTTATTAATTTGGAACAGTGAGTACAGGCTCTAGGAAATTTGTTGTGCATTAAGTCAGGAATTCAACTGGTCCTATGCAATTAACAAGAAGAGAGTCCCAGGAAAGGACTTGTACTCTGTTAATGGGGGGATCCCTTAAACAATATGCTCTCAATGCTCCACTCCTTCAAATCACATCAATTATACCAGATCTCAACAAAGAATGCAGTAATTATGTCTAGTAGAGTATATTTGACATAGTCTTACTCAGTTTGGCATAAGATAAGTATATGGAAACATTTTTTACACAAGCTTTGAGCCGCACGATTAATTGAGTCCATATTTCTTTGGGAAAATTCAATCGACTAACTAATAACAGAGATGAGCCTCGGAACGATTAATCGTAAGGGGGATCACTGTATTCATTAGGGTGTTTAGCTCTTCATCATCGTTGCATCACTGAACCATGCAAAGGTGTAAATTACAAGTACACTGGGCAAAGAGGTGTAAGTGAAATGTACAATCTGTTGACACTTGAGGTACTAATTTGGTCAATTCAATGATCAAAGAGTAACGTAGGTGCACGCCTGGTGAACACGAGGTGTACGTAAGGTGCACATCTGGTGAACAAGAGGTGTATGTAAGGTGCACATCTGGTGAACATGAGGTGTAGATAAGGTGCACATCTGGTGAACATGAGGTGTAGGTGAGGTGCACATCTGGTGAACATGAGGTATAAGTGAGGTGCACATCTGGTGAACAAGGTGTAGGTAAGGTGCACATCTGGTGAACAAGGTGTAGGTAAGGTGCACATCTGGTGAACATGAGGTGTAGGTGAGGTGCACATCTAGTGAACATGAGGTGTAGGTAAGGTGCACATCTGGTGAACATGAGGTGTAGGTGAGGTGCACATCTGGTGTACAAGAGGTGTAAGTGAGGTGCACATCTGGTGAACAAGAGGTGTAAGCGAGGTGCAAATCTGATGAACAAGGTGTAGGTGAGGTGCACATCTGGTGAACATGATGTAGGTGAGGTGCACATCTGATGAACATGAGGTGTAGGTGAGGTGCACATCTGGTGAACATGAGGTGTAGGTGAGGTGCACATCTGGTGAACAAGAGGTGTAGATGAGGTGTACATCTGGTGAACAAGAGGTGTAGATGAGGTGTACATCTGGTGAACAAGAGGTGTAAGTGAGGTGCACATCTGGTGAACAAGATGTGTGAGGTGCACATCTGGTGAACAAGAGGTGTAAGAGAGGTGCACATCTGGTGAACATGGTGTAGGTGAGGTGCACATCTGGTGAACATGGTGTAGGTGAGGTGCACATCTGGTGAACAAGATGTAGGTGAGGTGTACATCTGGTGAACATGGTGTAGGTAAGGTGCACATCTGGTGAACATGGTGTAGGTGAGGTGCACATCTGGTGAACAAGATGTAGGTGAGGTGTACATCTGGTGAACATGGTGTAGGTGAGGTGCACATCTGGTGAACATGGTGTAGGTAAGGTGCACATCTGGTGAACATGGTGTAGATAAGGTGCACATCTGGTGAACATGGTGTAGGTGAGGTGCACATCTGGTGAACATGGTGTGGGTGAGGTGCACATCTGGTGAACATAGGTGTAGGTGAGGTGCACATCTGTGACATGTGTAGGTGAGGTGCACATCTGGTGAACATGGTGTAGGTGAGGTGCACATCTGGTGAACATGGTGTGGGTGAGGTGCACATCTGGTGCACATAGTGTAGGTGAGGTGCACATCTGGTGAGCATGGTGTAGGTGAGGTGCACATCTGGTGAACATGGTGTGGGTGAGGTGCACATCTAGTGCACATAGTGTAGGTGAGGTGCACATCTGGTGAGCATGGTGTAGGTGAGGTGCACATCTGGTGAACATGGTGTAGGTGAGGTGCACATCTAGTGCACATAGTGTAGGTGAGGTGCACATCTGGTGATCATGGTGTAGGTGAGGTGCACATCTGGTGCACATAGTGTAGGTGAGGTGCACATCTAGTGCACATAGTGTAGGTGAGGTGCACATCTGGTGAACATGGTGTAGGTGAGGTGCACATCTGTGCAACATAGTGTAGGTGAGGTGCACATCTAGTGCACATAGTGTAGGTGAGGTGCACATCTGGTGAACATGGTGTAGGTGAGGTGCACATCTAGTGCACATAGTGTAGGTGAGGTGCACATCTAGTGCACATAGTGTAGGTGAGGTGCACATCTGGTGAACATGGTGTAGGTGAGGTGCACATCTAGTGCACATAGTGTAGGTGAGGTGCACATCTAGTGTACATAGTGTAGGTGAGGTGCACATCTGGTGAACATGGTGTAGGTGAGGTGCACATCTGGTGAACATGTGTAGGTGAGGTGCACATCTGGTGACAATGGTGTAGGTGAGGTGCACATCTAGTGCACATAGTGTAGGTGAGGTGCACATCTGGTGAACATGGTGTAGGTGAGGTGCACATCTGGTGAACATGGTGTAGGTGAGGTGCACATCTGGTGAACATGGTGTAGGTGAGGTGCACATCTGGTGCACATAGTGTAGGTAGGTGCACATCTGGTGACATGGTGTAGGTGAGGTGCACATCTGGTGAACATGGTGTAGGTGAGGTGCACATCTGAGTGCACATAGTGTAGTGAGGTGCACATCTGGTGAACATGGTGTAGGTGAGGTGCACATCTGGTGAACATGGTGTAGGTGAGGTGCACATCTGTGCACTAGTGTAGGTGAGGTGCACATCTGGTGAACATGGTGTAGGTGAGGTGCACATCTGGTGAACATGGTGTGGGTGAGGTGCACATCTAGTGCACATAGTGTAGGTGAGGTGCACATCTGGTGAGCATGGTGTAGGTGAGGTGCACATCTGGTGAACATGGTGTAGGTGAGGTGCACATCTAGTGCACATAGTGTAGGTGAGGTGCACATCTGGTGATCATGGTGTAGGTGAGGTGCACATCTGGTGAACATGGTGTGGGTGAGGTGCACATCTAGTGCACATAGTGTAGGTGAGGTGCACATCTGGTGAGCATGGTGTAGGTGAGGTGCACATCTGGTGAACATGGTGTAGGTGAGGTGCACATCTAGTGCACATAGTGTAGGTGAGGTGCACATCTGGTGATCAGGGTGTAGTGAGGTGCACATTAGGTGCACTAGGTAGGTGAGGTGCACATCTGTGAACATGGTGTAGGTGAGGTGCACATCTGGTGAACATGGTGTAGGTGAGGTGCACATCTAGTGCACATAGTGTAGGTGAGGTGCACATCTGTGACATGGTGTAGGTGAGGTGCACATCTAGTGCACATAGTGTAGGTGAGGTGCACATCTGGTGAACATGGTGTAGGTGAGGTGCACATCTAGTGCACATAGTGTAGGTGAGGTGCACATCTAGTGCACATAGTGTAGGTGAGGTGCACATCTGGTGAACATGGTGTAGGTGAGGTGCACATCTGGTGACACAGTGTAGGTGAGGTGCACATCTGGTGAACATGGTGTAGGTGAGGTGCACATCAGTGCACGTGTAGGTGAGGTGCACATCTGGTGCACATAGTGTAGGTGAGGTGCACATCTGGTGCACACAGTGTAGGTGAGGTGCACATCTGGTGCACACAGTGTAGGTAAGGTGCACATCTGGTGCACACAGTGTAGGTGAGGTGCACACAGTGTAGGTGAGGTGCACATCTGGTGCACATAGTGTAGGTGAGGTGCACATCTGGTGCACATAGTGTAGGTGAGGTGCACATCTGGTGCACATAGTGTAGGTGAGGTGCACACAGTGTAGGTGAGGTGCACATCTGGTGCACATAGTGTAGGTGAGGTGCACACAGTGTAGGTGAGGTGCACATCTGGTGCACATAGTGTAGGTGAGGTGCACACAGTGTAGGTGAGGTGCACATCTGGTGCACATAGTGTAGGTGAGGTGCATATCTGGTGCACATAGTGTAGGTGAGGTGCACACAGTGTAGGTGAGGTGCACATCTGGTGAACATGGTGTAGGTGAGGTGCATATCTGGTGCACATAGTGTAGGTGAGGTGCACACAGTGTAGGTGAGGTGCACATCTGGTGAACATGGTGTAGATGAGGTGCACATCTGGTGAACATGGTGTAGATGAGGTGCACATCTGGTGCACATAGTGTAGGTGAGGTGCACATCTGGTGCACACAGTGTAGGTGAGGTGCACATCTGGTGCACACAGTGTAGGTGAGGTGCACATCTTACCAGATCTCCACTTAGTATCGAGGTTAATAACCTGGTCGACGGTAGAAACATCTTTATATCTGTTGGTCTGTGAGTGTCTGACAACCTCTGGGTCACCACCTTGATCAACACGGAACAACACTATGTCCAACATTGTACTCTTCTTCCTGCTCTTGTTTCCACCAGTAACTTTATTATTACTAACACCTGGATGATGATGACACCTCTAACAACAACATCACATGCGGTCCGGCTCACTGTTGTCAAATCCGGAATCCACATGGCGTTCGTCGACAATAAATCCGGATTTGTAAATCATTCTGAATCCGAATTTGCAAGTTGTTCTTCAGAAGGCATCCGCCGGGATCTATGAAGTGTTCATCTCCCCATTCTAAATTCACAAGGAGTTCTTCATGCGAATCCGAATGTATGATGTTTTCTACACACTAAACGGCTCTAGGTTTTCCTTCTAGTAATTTCATATTTACGGGAAGTTCTTCATTCACTAGATCCGAATCCGAGATCCACGAGAAGTTCTCTAGTGATTCTGGATTTACAAGAAGTTCGTCTCCTAAATCCGGATTTACTAGGCTCTAAAATTCATGATCCACAAGTTTTTTTTCTCTTGAATCTGAATTTACAAGGCGTTCTCACTGGCTCTTGAATCTGAGATGCACAGGAAATTCCTCTCCAGGATCCGGATTATCAAAGCGTAATTAACAGTCACAAGCTTCAGATATTCGAGGTCCACAAAGCAGCCTTTCCCAGAATCCGGATTCACACTCACAAGCTTGAGAATCAGTGATTAACGATGCTTTCTTCCAGCACTACTAAAAAATATTTGAGAAATTAATCCACAACCGACTGTACACCTGCCTGACCAAGCACAATACACTTACTCATTGTCAGTCTGAATTCAGGCTGAAAAAAATACTAGAGAAGACTTCAGTAATATGAATGCTCACATAGTTTATTTAATCAGTCGAGAGAAATTATGTCTAAAGGAGAAAAAGGCACAATACCGTGACTGAAACAATACACAAATAACCAACATAGAGAGAGGAGCTTACGACGACGTTTTGGTCCTACTTGGACCTTTTACAAAGTCACACTCACACGAGAAATAGGATAGGTAGGTTTGTCAGGAAACAGAACAAGTGTTTCCTGACGCGAGTCTCAAGTCATATGATGACCCACAACTGGAGCTTTTGTTCATCTGACTGAGGCCTTCTGCTGGCTTACCGGTCAACCCCATTAAAAATATGGCTTTATTTTAATTCTAACACAAGAGAGTTAATTGATTCGTCAGGAACCGTCATGACCGTCGATCTAATTCATCTATTCTGTGGCTGCAATCAGTGTCTTGCTGTAGTCCCTGTGCAAAACATTTTATGTCTCTGGGCCCTGTGTTTGGCGATCGGGTAAATTTGAAAATAAACGCATTAAATCTGTTTTGTCCACCATGCATATGTTCAGGAATGTCTCCACAATAGTTCTGAATGTCTCTTTGTTTTCCTCAGTCTATCAGGTCGCATATGATATCGGTGAAGCACGTGATCGTCGACATAATTCGAGGGCTTAGAAGTAATATGGGATGTCCTGGTCTGCTCTCTTGGACTACAGTGTTCCTAACTAGTGACTGTTGTGGTGCTAGGCTTGATGCAATGTCTACAATCTTTTCTTGCAGCATGAGTCCTGTTGACTGCCGTTGTCGGGTGGGAGCTTGAGCAGAAGTTTTAGTTTAATATGTTTATTATGCACCCCATACCCACCCTGTGGGCGGTAGTCAAAAAGAAAACAGAGGTACATAATGGGTCCAGGGAAGGGGCCCCAATCTTGAGCAGAAGTATTGTAAGGTGGCTGAACAAAAACGCGACCGTGTCGATGATGCTTCCTCAGCTTCCTTTGTTGCTATGGCCAGGAAAGTGGCCCTGGATTCCATGTTACTGTAGCTTCCTCTGGACGAGGCTGCTGCTCAGTGGTGAGGGCTCTATTTGATGATGGAGGATGGACAACCGAAGTTTTCCCTGCTGCCTTAACACGGCGGAACCTCTCCGGGCAGTGCAAGTTCTAAGTTTGATGCTTCTTGCTCCAGTTCGGAAATCTAGTTTCCGTAGCTTCACTTTTCTTCAATTTATTCAAGGAGTCCTTGGTTGTGTGAGACCTGCTGCAGATGCTGCATACTTCTTTAAATTGACATCGGGCGCTGAGGTGGTTGTACCTCTGGTACCTGAAACACCTCAGAGGTTCTGGGCAGTACGTCCTAACCTGGTATGTTCCTCAGCAACCAAGATCTAATTGAGCTGGGAGAGGTCCTCTATGTCGGATCAAGACCTTCCTCGTAGGTACGTTGCAGTCCTTATTGGCTCGGAGCCGCTCCACTTGCAGGATGTTTTTGTTGCTATGGAATGCATCGAAAGGCATGTCTAGCGGATAGCGCATTAGTACACCTTTTGCTACCCGCTCTATGGATTTCAGTTCTGCTAGAGCAAGTGGTGATTCGAAGTCTTTCACCTGCAGTACCTCAGTGGGGAGTGAGAATAAACTCTCTTTTTAGATTTGGGGACACTGATATCTTCAGACTGTATTTTCTTTCCAGGTGAATTATAGCAGCATACGGAGTGTCATGGTGTCCTCTGTTGATGAATCTGAATTTGTTGACTAGGGATGTTTTAGCTTGTCTATTCTGCAAGGAAACACTGTGCCTTCCCTTGGACTTTGAAGATCGTACTTTCTGCCACCCTTCGCCATATGGTATTTCTATGATTGGGATGGGCATTTCTTCATTTATACCCATCTCACTGGCCAGGCTGATGTTACTTGCATCGATGTCGCAAGAGCCCAGGGAGTCCAGTGAATGGTCTCGCAGCTTCTTTGCCAGAACTGCGCCCCACATTTCCAAATCCGAGTCCTTTGTTGAGTCCTTGGGACATCACGACCTCTTCCTTTCGGAAGAAACCACGTGCTTCCTTGTGCCTGTCTCGTGAATCTGTCTTGAATATCTCAATGGAGGACAGTATATATAGGCGAAGGGGACAAGGACGGAACTAAGAGACAGAAAAAGGAAGAGTGATAGTGGTAAGGCTGGTAGTGGGAACAGTAGTAGAAGAAATAGAAAGTAGGGAGAGTAGTTTAGTAGTACAAAAGAGAAAGGGTAATGAAGAGTGAAGGGAGGCAACAGTAATGGTAGTAGCAATAGTAGAAGAAATGGATTGGTAGACGTAGTAGTAGTAGAAATGGGGTCAGACTAAGGACAAGAAAAAGGAGCAATGCAGTAGAGCTAAGGGCCCACAAGGGTTAGGAAAAAAAAACCCAGGGGGAAAAACAGAAGGACAGAACACACATAAGCGGACGAGAGGAAAACAAAGGAAGAAAAGGAAAAAAATAGGAAAGGAGGAGAAGAAAGGATCAGGTCAAATCACGAGTGTTCGGAAGTCTGGAGTATTTGACAATGTAATGAGAAAGGAAGAAAGACATCAACAGAGACAAAGCCAGGACTAAGATTCATACAAGGAGAGTTATGTATTAGGGAAGCTTCAACAACAACTTTCCTCGTATGAATCTTAATCGTAGCTTTGTCTATGCTGATGCCTTCCTTTCTCATTACATTATCAAACGCTCCAAGCTTCAGAACACGTGTGACTTGACCTGATCCCTTCTTCTCCTTTCCTATTTTTTTCCTTTTTCTTTCTTTGTTTTCCTCTTTTGTCTACGTTACAGGCATTGGACTGTAAACGGTACATCGCGTGTACACACTCCGACACTCCCTCGGGAGCCACTGCCGGGCCACCTCATGGAAAAGACCCGGGCCAAGACCCGTCCTGGCAAACCTACATGAACATGAACTCTCTTGTGTAAGTGTAACTTTGTAAATGGTCCAAGTCGGACCGAAACATAATCGTAAGCTTCTGTCTCCTATGTGCGGAAATTTGTGATATGGTATCTCATTGGTCTATATTAATCTGCGGAAAGGTCTTTGATACTGATGACCACAACACAGTCCTTCTCAAGCTTAATGACTATGAACTCAGAGGACACATACACGTACTTTCATTCCTTCTTCAGTAACAAGCATGTCGCCATAAATTACACCTTACATAGTACCCTACCTATTAATTAACCCAGGTGTCATCCAAGGCAGCATTCTAGTCTATCTTCTCTTTCTCGTCTGTATCAATGATCTACCTAACGTCATTCACCATCTGAAACCTTTACTCTTTGCTAACGACACAACTTTTTCTAAAATCAAGTCCATATCCTGTGTAACAAGAAGATTCCATCTCCTAAATGTCTTCAATGGTGACGGGGATGGTCATGGAGGCAAGGACTTGTGTGAGAATAGTTCTTGCACTGTGATGTTGAAAACAGTGAAAGAAAATGTATTGTTTCTGAAACACTGCAGTTCAGTTTAATGGTTTAATATCTTTATTAGGCACCCCAGACCCATCCTGTGGACGCTAGTCAAAACATTACAGAGGTACATAATGGGTCCTGGGACTGGGCCCCAAAGTTTTGATAACTGAACAAGTTACAGTGGTAATGAACTATTTACATGTTTATATCTGGTTACAGTCGTAATGAATTATTTATGCAAACATTAATTAGGTCACACACACACACACACACACACACACACACACACAACAGATGAATCAAAGGGATGTTAGGAAGTATTTCTTCAGTCATAGAGTAGTCAGGCCATGGAATAGCCTAGAAAGTGATGTGGTGGAGGCAGGAACCATACATAGTTTTAAGGCGAGGTATGATAGAGCTCATGGGGCAGGGAGAGAGAGGACCTAGTAGCAATCAGCGAAGAGGCGGGGCCAGGAGCTGTGACTCGACCCCTGCAACCACAAATAGGTGAGTACAAATAGGTGAGTACACACACAGGAGTCAGTCCTAGGACCTGTGCTGTTCTTGGTATATGTGAACGACATAACGGAAGGGACAGACTCAGAAGTGTCCTTGTTTGCAGATGATGTGAAGTTAATGAGAAGAATCAAATCGGATGAGGATCAGGCAGGACTACAAAGAGACCTGGACAGGCTACAAGCCTGGTCCAGCAACTGGCTCCTTGAGTTTAACACTGCCAAATGCAAAGTCCTGAAGATTGGGGAAGGGCAAAGTAGACCGCAGACACAATATAGTTTAGATGGCCAAAGACTGCAAACCTCACTCAAGGAAAAAGATCTGGGGGTGAGTATAACACCGAGCATATCTCCTGAGGCGCACATCAATCAGATAACTGCTGCAGCATACGGGCGCCTGGCAAACCTACGGATAGCGTTCCGATACCTCAGTAAGGATTCGTTCAAGACTCTGTATACCATTTACGTCAGGCCCATACTGGAGTATGCAGCACCAGTTTGGAATCCACACCTAGTCAAGCACGTCAAGAAATTAGAGAAAGTGCAAAGGTTTGCAACAAGGCTAGTCCCAGAGCTACGGGGATTGTCCTACGAAGAAAGGTTGAAGGAAATCGGCCTGACGACACTGGAGGACAGGAGGGTCAGGGGAGACATGATAACGACATATAAAATACTGCGCGGAATAGACAAGGTGGACAAAGACGGGATGTTCCAGAGAGGGGACACAGACACAAGAGGTCACAATTGGAAGTTGAAGACTCAGATGAATCAAAGGGATGTTACCTGGATACCTGGAATACCTGGAGAGAGTTCCGGGGGTCAACGCCCCCGCGGCCCGGTCTGTGACCAGGCCTCCTGGTGGATCAGAGCCTGATCAACCAGGCTGTTGCTGCTGGCTGCACGCAAACCAACGTACGAGCCACAGCCCGGCTGATCAGGAACTGACTTTAGGTGCTTGTCCAGTGCCAGCTTGAAGACTGCCAGGGGTCTGTTGGTAATCCCCCTTATGTGTGCTGGGAGGCAGTTGAACAGTCTCGGGCCCCTGACACTTATTGTATGGTCTCTTAACGTGCTAGTGACACCCCTGCTTTTCATTGGGGGGATGGTGCATCGTCTGCCAAGTCTTTTGCTTTCGTAGTGAGTGATTTCCGTGTGCAAGTTCGGTACTAGTCCCTCTAGGATTTTCCAGGTGTATATAATCATGTATCTCTTCCTCCTGCGTTCCAGGGAATACAGGTTTAGGAACCTCAAGCGCTCCCAGTAATTGAGGTGTTTTATCTCCATTATGCGTGCCGTGAAAGTTCTCTGTACATTTTCTAGGTCGGCAATTTCACCTGCCTTGAAAGGTGCTGTTAGTGTGCAGCAATATTCCAGCCTAGATAGAACAAGTGACCTGAAGAGTGTCATCATGGGCTTGGCCTCCCTAGTTTTGAAGGTTCTCATTATCCATCCTGTCATTTTTCTAGCAGATGCGATTGATACAATGTTATGGTCCTTGAAGGTGAAATCCTCCGACATGATCACTCCCAGGTCTTTGACGTTGGTGTTTCGCTCTATTTTGTGGCCAGAATTTGTTTTGTACTCTGATGAAGATTTAATTTCCTCATGTTTACCATATCTGAGTAATTAAAATTTCTCATCGTTGAACTTCATATTGTTTTCTGCAGCCCACTGAAAGATTTGGTTGATGTCCGACTGGAGCCTTGCAGTGTCTGCAATGGAAGACACTGTCATGCAGATTCGGGTGTCATCTGCAAAGGAAGACACGGTGGTGTGGCTGACATCCTTGTCTATGTCGGATATGAGGATGAGGAACAAGATGGGAGCGAGTACTGTGCCTTGTGGAACAGAGCTTTCCACCGTAGCTGCCTCGGACTTTACTCTGTTGACGACTACTCTCTGTGTTCTGTTAGTGAGGAAATTATAGATCCATCGACCGACTTTTCCTGTTATTTCTTTAGCACGCATTTTGTGCGCTATTACGCCATGGTCACACTTGTCGAAGGCTTTTGCAAAGTCTGTATATATTACATCTGCATTCTTTTTGTCTTCTAGTGCATTTAGGACCTTGTCGTAGTGATCCAATAGTTGAGACAGACAGGAGCGACCTGTTCTAAACCCATGTTGCCCTGGGTTGTGTAACTGATGGGTTTCTAGATGGGTGGTGATCTTGCTTCTTAGGACCCTTTCAAAGATTTTTATGATATGGGATGTTAGTGCTATTGGTCTGTAGTTCTTTGCTGTTGCTTTACTGCCCCATTTGTGGAGTGGGGCTATGTCTGTTGTTTTTAGTAACTGTGGGACGACCTCCGTGTCCATGCTCCCTCTCCACAGGATGGAAAAGGCTCGTGATAGGGGCTTCTTGCAGTTCTTGATGAACACAGAGTTCCATGAGTCTGGCCCTGGGGCAGAGTGCATGGGCATGTCATTTATCGCCTGTTCGAAGTCATTTGGCGTCAGGATAACATCGGATAGGCTTGTGTTAATCAAATTTTGTGGCTCTCTCATAAAAAATTAATTTTGATCTTCGACTCTCAGTCTGGTTAGCGGCTTGCTAAAAACTGAGTCATATTGGGACTTGAGTAGCTCACTCATTTCCTTGCTGTCATCTGTGTAGGACCCATCTTGTTTAAGTAGGGGCCCAATACTGGACGTTGTTCTCGATTTTGATTTGGCATACCTGGAGTTTACCTGGAGAGAGTTCCGGGGGTCAACGCCCCCGCGGCCCGGTCTGTGACCAGGCCTCCTGGTGGATCAGAGCCTGATCAACCAGGCTGTTGCTGCTGGCTGCACGCAAACCAACGTACGAGCCACAGCCCGGCTGATCAGGAACTGACTTTAGGTGCCTGTCCAGTGCCAGCTTGAAGACTGCCAGGGGTCTGTTGGTAATCCCCCTTATGTATTCTGGGAGGAAGTTGAACAGTCTCGGGCCCCTGACACTTATTGTATGGTCTCTTAACGTGCTAGTGACACCCCTGCTTTTCATTGGGTGATGTTGCATCGTCTGCCAAGTCTTTTGCTTTCGTAGTGAGTGATTTTCGTGTGCAAGTTCGGCACTAGTCCCTCTAGGATTTTCCAGGTGTATATAATCATGTATCTCTCCCTCCTGCGTTCCAGGGAATACAGGAGGGAGAGATACATGATTATATACACCTGGAAAATCCTAGAGGGACTAGTACCGAACTTGCACACGAAAATCACTCACTACGAAAGCAAAAGACTTGGCAGACGATGCACCATCCCCCCAATGAAAAGCAGGAGAAGAAATACTTTGGGTTTCTTTCGATTTCATTTATGGCTTTTAGTTCTTCCCGCGATTCCTGACTCCTAAAGGATTCTCTTAGCTTAGGTTCGATGCTTGCTATTTCTTTGACCAGTGTCTCCCTACGCATTTCAGATATATTGACCTCTTTTAGCCGCTCTGTTATTCTTTTCCGTCGCCTGTAAAGGGATCGCCTGTCTCTTTCTATTTTACATCTACTCCTCCTTTTTCTTAGAGGAATAAGCCTTGTGCATACATCGAGTGCCCCGATTAATCTGTTCTAGCATAAGTTGGGGTCTGTGTTGCTTAGTATATCTTCCCAGCTTATATCGGTTAGGACTTGGTTTACTTGGTCCCACTTATGTTTTGTTATTGAAGTTGAATTTGGTGAATGCTCCTCGTGACTAGTCTCATTTTGTCGGTCTGGGGCTCCACGCATTACATGTCTGAACCTCAATTATGTTTGTGATCTGAGTATATTGTTTTGATATGGTGACATTTCTTATCAGATCATCATTGTTAGTGAATATGAGGTCTAGTGTATTCTCCAGTCTAGTAGGCTCTATTATTTGCTGGTTTAAATTGAATTTTGTGCAGAGATTTAAAAGCTCGTGTGAGTGTGAGTTTTCATCAGAGCTGCCTCCTGGTGTTATTACTGCAACAATATTATTTGTTATATTCCTCCATTTTAGGTGCCTTAAGTTGAAATCCTCCAGGAGCAAGATGTTGGGTGCAGGAGCTTATGACACAACCATGACACAATACTACCATACCTGTGTGTGGCTTCTGACACAACCATGACACAATACTACCATACCTGTGTGTGACTTATGACACAACCATGACACAATACTACCATACCTGTGTGTGGCTTCTGACACAACCATGACACAATACTACCATACCTGTGTGTGATTATGACACACCTGACACAATACTACCATACCTGTGTTGGCTTCTACACAACCATGACACAATACTACCATACCTGTGTGTGGCTTCTGACACAACATGACACAAACTACATCTTGTGTGCTTCTGACACAACCTGACCAATATATTATATATATATAATATATATATATATATATATATATAATATATATATATATATTATTCCGCAATGCATTACGTACTAATAACCTTTGTGTGTACCAGTGTTTTACTTTATGTGAAATACATTATTTTGTACCGCATAAAGAAGTACAAATTTGTATTATAGTTTTTATTACTATAATTATAATTATTATTATAATTATTATTAATAATAATAAAGTAAGAGATAAAGTGAGAATGTTGGCGCCAAAAGTTGGTATAATAAGAGTGAGTTTTGGCGGGAGTTGTTGTGTTGTTGTTGTTGTGAGACATTATGGCCACTACTGCTGATGTTATTATTGATCAACGTATACGAGACATACAGAGGGAATATCTGGAGTTCCTGGAAGATGATGTGAGTGAATAAACTTGTATTTAAAACAGATATGATGAGTGAGAGGAGCGAGACGTGGTGGCAGGTCTCGCCCCTCTCATGGGTGGTTAATGAATGTTACTGAAGAGTTCTTGTTTCAGGGCAGTGGATCTGGCTTCCCTTTCCTCGGATTAAACCTCATGAACCTGTATGAACCTTAAGTGTTTAGCGCTTCCTGATGGGTGAAACACCTGGTACATCTCACTTGTTACTTAAAACTTGTTATATTGTTTATCCTGGATGACTGACACAAATGTTATTATTTAACACAGTTGTAATTCATCCAAAAATTGTGTAATTGTTACTAAATTTACTAGATAATGTATAAGACAACACTGGTATGTATTATTTCTGCTCCCTGGTATATTATGTGACCAATAATGTATATTATGTATGATGAACAATAATGTATATGTATGATGAACAATAATGTATAATATGTATGATGAACAGTAATGTATAATATGTATGATGAACAGTAATGTATATTATGTATGATGATCAGTAATGTATAATATGTATGATGAACAGTAATGTATATTATGTATGATGAACAGTAATGTATAATATGTATGATGATCAGTAATGTATAATATGTATGATGAACAGTAATGTATATTATGTATGATGAACAGTAATGTATATATGTGATGAACAATAATGTATATATGTGATGAACAATAATGTATATTATGTACAATGAACAATAATGTATATTATGTATAAGCAATAATGATAGGCTGTATGATAAAATTTTGTTTAGATTTTTAACCCTGGAGGGTTAGCCACACAGGATAACCCAAGAAAGTCAGTGTGTCGGTGAAGGACTGTCTTGTCTTATTTCCATTGGGGTCCTCATTCTTGTCCCCCAGGATGTGACCCACACCAGTCGACTAACATCCAGGTACCTACTTGCTAGGTGAACAGGACAGTAGGGGTAAGAAAACGTGTTGAATGTGTCCACCCCGTCAGGAATCGAACCCGGACTCTCAGCATGTGAGGTGAGAGCTTTGCCAACCAGGCCACAGGGCCCTGTGTATGACAGTTGGTAATTTATATTATGTATAACTATATTTGGCTATGTATAACATAATATATAGTATGCTATATATAACAGGCAGCATCATATATTTCGTTTTGTGTAATGAACAGTGATGTATATTAGGCTATGTAAAACAAGTTATGATGACCTCACACGACGCTGTTGTGCAAGGGCATTTATTTTCCCCGGCTAGCATTTTTACGGCTGAATTGTTAGTCATTCTTGTAGCACTTATCCGTATTGCATCTATGCCTGTGTCACCATTTGTGGTTGTTTCAGACTTGGTGCTTTGCAGGCTATAAGAAAATTTGATACGCCTCATCCCCTGGTTCTTCGTATCCAACTTTGGTTACGCTGTATCTCTAGCAAGCACAAAGATATTGTTTTTTGTTGGGCCCCCGGTCATGTTGACGTACTGGACAATGAACAGGCAGACATTGTTGCATGGTCAGTGGTACATGACCTCCCAGTTTCATATAGAGGTGTTCCATTCACAGACTATTTTGCTGTAATTGCTACCCACTTTTGCACCCGTTGGCAACAACGTTGGTCTGATCTGCTCCATAATAAACTACATTCTAATAAACTGACTACATATATGTTTCTGGCTGTCTTCTTATCAGTGTCGAGGTTGGGAGACTACAGTGGTACCTCAGGCTATGAACTTAATTCGTTCCAGAAGGCTGTTCAAGTGCCGATACCGAACAAATTTGTTCCCATGAGGAATGATGTAAATTAGATTAATCTGTTTCAGACCCCCAAAAATGCACTTAAAATAGCACTTACATAAATACACTTTCATAATTGTTTTAGTTTTGAGCTGTTCATATCCCGAGGTATCACTGTACTCTCTCCCGTCTTCGCATCAGCCACACTCGTCTTACTCACGGGTATCTCGTGGAGAGGCGCCCTGTTCCACTCTGAGAATTGTCAGGTTCCAGTTTCTGTTAGCCACATTCTGTTGGACTGCCCACTTTATCAGTGAGCATACAGAATTTACCTCTAACATCTGTACTGCTCTACTGCCCTTGCTTTACCTTCCCTTCTTGCTGATAGACCCTCCTTTAACCCAGACTCTCTCATTGACTTTTTGACAGCAACTGATTTACTGCACAAACTCTGATGGTGATGTCTCTAGTACTCCTCACAGCCCTTTCTGCCTCAATCTCTTTCTACCCTCTACCCCTGCACTATCCACTGCCCTGCTGCACTTCATGACCTAATAATCATCCCTCTCCCTCTTGCTACCCAATACCCCTGCATCTTTCCCTGCCTGGCAGTGCTGTATGACCCTTGTAGGTTCAGCACTTCTTTTTGATTATAATAAGAATATAAGCAGCCTAACTATCATTGTTGTTAGTGTCAAACTTTAATATTCTTGTAAAGCAGCTTGATTATATAAAACCCCTGGAAGATTATTTAAAGTATCCCATTGTCAACTAATAATATATTAATTGTGTAATGTACTTTTTAGAAATTAAGGTTATTATTATTAGGGGATTTTCTATTAATTCTTCTTTCAACAAACCGGCCGTATCCCACGGAAGCAGGGTGGCCCAATAAGAAAAATGAAAGTTTCTCTTTAAATTTAGTAATTTATACAGGAGAAGGAGTTACTAGCCCTTTGCTCCCAGCATTTTAGTAACCTCTTACAATATAGTAGCCTCTTACAATACACATGGCTTACGGAGGGAGAATTCTGTTCCACTTCCCCATGGAGATAAGAGGAAATAAACAAGAACAAGAACTAGAAAGGAAATAGAAGAAAACAAAGATGGGTGTGTATATATATACTTGTACATGTATGTGTAGTGTGACTTAAGTGTAAGTAGAAGTAGCAGACAAACCTGAAATCTTGCATGTTTATGACAGAAAAAAAAGACACCATCATAATTTGTTCAGTACAACATGAGTGCCACACTAGAAAAAATTTCCCTGAGATTAATTTATGATGGATTTTTTAGGTTACATGACTTTACAAGTAATTTTTTCCCCATTTGCTCAGTATAAAACTACTGGATATGCCTGGCACAACCCACTTAATATAAGACATTTGAAACCATATCTTATCACCAAAATACACCAAGCTCAAGATGATTCTCCTCAAATTGCTTGTGCTCTCTAGGCTAGAATACTGCTGTACACTAATGGCCCCCTTCAAGGCTGATGACATTGCAGACCTGGAGTGTGTACAAAGAACTTTCACGGCACATATAAGCACGATAAGGCACCTAAATTACTGGGAACAGTTGAACGTCCTTGATCTGTGTTCTCTTGAATGCAAGCGAGAGAAATACATGATAATATGCACTTGGAAGGTCCTGGAGGGATTGGTACCAAACCTGCACACGAAAATCACTCCCTACAAAAGCAAAAGACTCAGCAGGAGATGCAACCTTCCCCCAATGGAAAGCAGGGGCACAATGAGTACATTGAGAGACAACACAATAAGTGTCTGGGGTTCATGACTGTTCAGTTGCCTCCCAGCCTACTTAAGGGGGATTACCAATAGACCCCTGGCAGTCTTTAAGAAGGCACTGGACAGGTACCTAAAGTCAGTACCTGACCAACCGGGCTGTGGTTCGTACATCAACTTGTGTATGGCCAGTAGTAACAGCCTGGTTGATCAGACCCTGATCCACCGTGAGGCCTGGTCTCAGCCTGAGCCGTGGGGGCGTTGACCCCTGAAACCCTCTCCAGGTAAACTCCAGGTAGGGTCAACATTCAGTAACACTACCTTATGTTATAATAGAAGGTGTTTAGGACTAATTTCCTACTGTAGGCACTACAAAATTGTTTACTTCCTCTAGTACAATATTGGTTCATAACCTTGGCAAAATTTGAAGGCAGATTTTGTAGACTCTGGTTGTTAGCAGTTATATAACCATGATTGAGGACCCAGGTGACATCTAGGCTGGTGGACTCTAGATGAATAGACTGACGCTAATTAATTGAGTCAGTCAAGTATACACACACAAATGTCAGTAATATGTAATCTAGTCTGTACTCCATATCTTTCAGGAGGACTCTGGCCTGTATTCCGAACTTGTGCGTGATATGATTGAAGATGGCGAGTGTCGCCTCATTGTCAGCATTAATGACCTCCGCAAAAAGAATTCTCAGCGTGTCACAGGGTAAGTCATGTGCTATGTTGTTAATAATAATAACAATAATAATAATAATAATAATTGGGTTTTTTGTTGTTCTTAAGTGCCTGTTCTTTCAAGAAGTTCACAAATACTCTCACAAGAAGCCTAAATGCAAAATCAGCAATGAAGAAATATATACTGAAGTTTGTATTACGGATGGCATGGTTGTTGGGATCGCCAGAGTGACGGCATGGTTGTTGGGGTTGCTAGAATGATGGAACGGTTGTCAGGGGTTGCCCGAGTAATAGCACGGTTGTCGGAGTTGCAAGTTCTTGGAAAAGACGTGTCCTACTCATCTAAAACTCAGTACACATATCCAGCATATTGCAAGAAAAGTATAAAATGTGGGGATACTCTTAAAAGTGACATTAAGTAGCAACCTCTATTTTCCTTACTTTGTTAGTACTATATCATATATGGTGTGTGTGTGTTTGGGGGGGAGGATCGACAAGCGCTGACCATCATACACTAATCATACAACAAGAGGCAGCCATCAGAGTTACATCAAATGCTAGTTATAAATACTAATCAACTGTATTCAGAACTTGAAACATACATGTCATTCATACATTGTACTGTATGTGTGTACTTTATATCTTCAGCATAGTAAACCATAGTACTAAATCAGATCTAAGATTCTTCCTGGAGAGCTGCAACACAATTCCTGTCTCTCCAAGAAGAAAGATAATCATTAGAATAAAAAGTAACAGTACCATGACTGGAACAATATGCAAATAACCCGTACACAGGTAAATGAAACTGACGATGTTTAGGTCTGACTAGTTCATGTTCCAAGTCAGACTGAAACGTCATTGTGAGTTTTTCTCCTATGTGCTGGTTAATTATGCAAAATCTATTAGATATTCCATGTGTACATCTGATTGCATGTAGAAATGTTATGCAAATTAAGGGGGTCAAAAATGTGTAATGTTCTAGAATAAAGGAAAAGCTGTAACTTGAGTATCTTCAGACTGCCACTCCAAACAGTGTGTCTAGCTCTGATGAGCTGTTATCTTCAGTACTATTGTTTTTCGTCATAAGCTTGTTTCCTAAGTTTATATTAAAGTTTCCGTGTGTGATGTATGGTAGTTGTTAGCACACTAGTTATTACCTTAATATTACTTCTCAGTGTGCTTCATATAATTGTGATTTAAACCACTGTTCAGGAGTGACTGCTATATATTCTACTGTAAGTTCTAATTTTTTCAGTTGTTTCTTCTACAGTATTGAATTGCTATGATATTGTATTTAGATACAATACTGTATTAAACCAGCAATTTACTTAGTTTGTTAATAGTATACTGGGATATAATTTTTATTTTTTCTTCTGATGTTATTGTCATCTGTCATTTTCTCACATTTGTGTAACAGGAAATGTTATTTATTCACAAATTTAGGATTTCTCTTTTTTATACTATTTTTAATACTGTTAATATTCATTTCTTTCAATTTCTTCTTACTTTGGGCCAGTAAAAATAGAATAGCATTGAAGTATAAACTTTCTTAAGTGAATTTTTATGCAAGGACTAAGTATTGGACATTGCCCAGCATATATACCTAATAAAGAGGGACCTATTGAGACCACATAGTGATGATTAGATGAGCATCAGTAGTTACAGCCAACAATAATAGTTCTAAACCTGGCATCATTTTCAGGCTGCTAAACTGTGCCTACGAGGAAGTGCCAGCATTTCACCGAGCCCTGAAGGAGTATGTAGCATCAGTTGATGCTAACTATGCCAAGAATAAAGAAGAACTTTTTGTTGGGTTTGAGGGGAGTTTTGGCAGTAAGCATGTGTCTCCACGATCACTGACTGCCAGGAACCTGGGTAATCTAGTGTGTGTTGAAGGCATTGTTACCAAATGTGAGTCTTCGTATTTTTGTATTGTACTGGAATGCTAGTTTTGTATTTGAAGCACATTGTCCAGTTTCAAGACACTTTATTTTAAATTTGCAATATCTTGGGCTCTTAGTGCCTGTTTGTGAAATTATTTTTTACATTCCATTGGTTAAAGCACTTGCTACATCCTCTCAAGAATTCGTTTCATTGGTCTACCACTGTGATAAAAAAAATTACTACTATTCCATCACTCCACTTTTTTTATCAGTTTACAGCTGTTGCCTGTTGGCATCCCTATTTTAGATAAAAAATTTCTGATCTTTCATATCACTTTATGACCTTACATGTTATCAGTCTTGGGCCCATTGTTGTTGTTTATAATATATATCAAAGATCTTGATGAGGGAATTACAAGTGATATGAGCAAATTCGCCAATGACACAAAGATAGGTAGGATAATTGATTCAAATGTAGATATTGGGGAACTTCTGGAGAATTCAGACAAACTCAATACCTGGTCAGAAAAGTGGCAGATGCAGTTCAGTGTAGATAAATGCAAGGTTCTGAAGCTTGGGAGTGTCCATAACCCTTGCACTTATAAGTTAAATAATGTAGAGCTTAGCCATACAGATTGCGAAAAGGACTTGGAGTGTTATTGGGTACGGGAGGATATTCTTGGGAAGCTTTGAGTAGGGGTCGTTTTGATAAGGACCTGCCTTGTATGGGCCAGTAGGCCTTCTGCAGTGTTCCTCCATTTTTATGTTCCCCTCTTCCTCCCATCAGCCAGAGTGGGCATCTTCAGTGCTTTCAGTTTCTCATCCTAGAACTCATTTTCAAACTGGTTACCATTTTGTAGCCCTATTTTTGAACCTTTTCTGATTTATTCCATGCATATTCTAATTTTGGCCTAGGGTACCATATGTCATAAACAGATTGTAATAATGGTGGTAGAATTACCGACAATATGTAAAGTAAAAGGACACAAGTGCAACTAATGTGACATTTTATTGTGGCAACGTTTTGCTCTCCAGGAGCTTTGTCAATGGCTTTGGTAACGGCTTGACAAAGCTCCTGGAGAGCGAAACGTTGCCACAATAAAATGTCACATTAGTTGCACTTGTGTCCTTTTACTTTACATGTCATAAACAGCTGTTTTAGCATTTCTCCCTTCATATATTAAAGAACTATTTTATTCTTCACTAGCATAGCATAGGAGTTTCTCAAAATTCGTTGATATCTGCTGGTGTCTTGAGTTTTTGTTAATAAAATACTCTTAGGTCCCTTTCTCTGTTTTACACTTTCAGTATTTTGCCAGTCTTCATTCTTCATTGTGGTTTGATTTCACTTCCATTTCTGTTATATACCATTTTCTTTCTTTCTTCTTCTTTCAACACACCGGCTATATCCCACCGAGGCGGCGTGGCCCAAAAGGAAAAACGAAAGTTTCTCCTTTTACAGTTAGAAATATATACAGGAAAAGAGGTTACTAGCCCCTTGCTCCCGGCATTTTAGTTGCCTCTTACAACACGCATGGCTTACGGAGGAAGAATTCTGTTCCACTTCCCCATGGAGACGGCAGACTTGTTGAAAAAAAAATAAAAAAAAGAACTAGAAAGAAAATAGAAGAAAACCCAGAGGGGTGTGTATATATGTGCTTGTACATGTATGTGTAGTTTGACCTAAGTGTAAGCAGAAGTAGCAAGACATACCTGAAATTTTGCATGTTCATGAGACAGAAAAAAGGACACCAGCAATCCTACCATCATGTAAAACAATTACAGGCTTTCGTTTTACACTCACTTGGCAGGACGGTAGTACCTCCCTGGGTGGTTGCTGTCTACCAACCTACTTCCTATGTTATATACCATTTATCTACGTTAAATTATCCTCTATCCATCACTCCATTTACCTCATTAATACACAGTGCAATGAGGTCACCACCAGCATCCTTAGGGAATCCTGAGAAGTCTCACTATGAGATGCTAGGGCCAGCATAACTTTTTTCTTACTGAAATGCCTAACAGGGTAGGGTATTACAGAGCTTTCGACATTAAAAACTGCCTGGCCTCCATCTGGCATACTTAATGACTAGCACTCTAGAAGAATTTCTTAACTGAAAGCTGATTTGTTTGTTAGTGTTTTTTTTTTTTTTTTTTTTCCAAAAATTTTTCAATACTTATCAATTAAACTGGCCTATAGTTTAAAGGGAGTTCGCTTTCAGCTTTCTTTTAAATGTTGGCAGAAAGTGTGCCATCTTCCATTTGTCTGCCAATTTTCCTTCTTAAGAAAAAATAAAAAAAATTTCCAAAGTGGGCTGCTCAGTTCTTCTGAACATTCTTTTAAATCCATGGTGCTGTCTCATCTGCTCTTGTGTTTTTTTTTTTTTTTCAACATCCAGTAATAATTTCTTCAATATTTCACTTCTTTTGGTATCCTATAACTCAGTTATTTATTCAGGGTGTTTATTCTACTATGTATAAAATATCTACCCTTGTAAACACCGAAACTTGCTATTTAGCATTTCGGACATTTCCTCCACTTCAGTGATTGTTGCCATCTCTAATTCTTTACATTTTGTCTTCAATATGTAGTTTCCTCTTTACAAACTTGAAAAATATTGATTCTGTTTATTACAGTAGACCGTCATTTAGCACAAGTTTATTTGGCACAATTTGGGTATAGCACGATTGAAGAATTGTGGCACAATTTTATGTAACACGTAGTATGATGAATTTAACACGGTTCAGTTTGCGGGAAGGAAAAAAAACTTCCCCTTTCCTCAAGCAGCCGCCTTGTTGTGGTTCAGCAGGGGAGACCTCCCGCCGTCTCCAAGCCACCCTCCCACCACCAACCCACCATCCTACCATTTGTACTTCATGTGTGTCCAGTCCAACTTCTCTGCTACGAGCTTGTGATTGTGAATTGTGTTTTGATCTTTTAATTGCTTTATCTTGTATCTGCCAAGCAATCGTGACACCCAGAAGGCATACCAGTGTTGCTCAAAGTGGCAAGAAAAGGTGTAAGCATTTAATTAAGTCTTAGAATTAATGAAGGAAACAAAGATATTAGACAAGACATCCTGTTGCCATAATGAAGTTACTTTGTACACATAAAAAGAGATAAACATAAGTTTGTGTGACTGACTGACTTACTGAGTGACTGACTGACTTACTGAATGACTTGACTGACTGAATGACTTGACTGACTGAATGACTTCAACTTCAACAACTATCAACTTCAGTACCAGAACCTCTACCATCCACCTCAGCCCAGTAGGACCACAACATAACTCTCCACTCTCTTCACAATCATCCACAAACACCAGCACCCACAATTTAAGGTAAGAAATATTGTTATTTCTGTTACATTTGTAGTCTTAAGCAGTAAAAACAACATAATACATCTTAACAATTAACTACAATTACATATTCACTTTTATTTTTGTAAGATGTGGAGGCCTAAAAAAAATTGTTTGGCTTTTTTTTTTGAGCTCTCAGGAACATAACCCTATTTTTCCCATAAGTTCTTCAGTTCATCTAACACGGTTTTACCTAACATGGTGTTTTCTTTCCTCTTTACCTCTGTAGTGTATTTAATTTCTGGCTTGCTTGTATCTCTTGTATGTCTTTGGGTTGGCCCTCTTCCTGTGTTGTTTCCAAGGTCTTTCATTATTTTTCATATCTCTCCAACACCTTGCATTGAGTTGGTCTTTAATATTTCTTCATTTACTTTATGGAGTAAATTGCTTAACCCTTTCAGGGTCCAGACCCTTTTTCTGAAAATTGCTCTCAGGGTCCAAGAATTTAAAAAAAAAAAAAAAACTTATGAAATGACAGAGAATCTTTTCCCAAAGGTAATGAAACCAAAAGTACAAAATTTGATTGAATACTCTCGCAAAGTTAGCGGTCTCGGTGATATTTACGCATCGACAATTTTGCCCACTTTTGTGTCCTATGTTAGGCCACTTACATTGTTCCAGTCCACCAAATTCTTATCTATTTCACAAGTATGCCTTCCATTCTGTTGATTGAGTACAAGAAACTGCCCATTTAATTATTTTGACTACCTAGTAAAGGGATCAGAAATTGATAATTTGGCCAATTTCACACGAAATAAAAAAAATTGCCAGTTTAAAAATGGAGTACAGAGTAAGCACTGTAGACATTCCTTGAATTGAAACATTCCTCTGTTTATAATTATGTCCCCAGGCTTCATATTTTTAATTTTTATTTATACGAAAAAATAGAAGATTTACTGTTATGCAGACTACTGCATTATTGTAATAATTGTATAAATAATGTTAGTGCATTTGTGAAGATGTATTAGACCAACCAGTTGGACACGTATTGGACGAGTGATGCAATTTGTGTCCTCTGGAATAATGGCAAAAGTCGAACATTTCCACTACTTTGAGCTCAATTTCAAGATACTTTTAGCCTTGAAACCAATCAAAATCGTCTCTGTTTCTGTAAAATATCTTCCATTCTGTGAAATGATACCAAGAAACTGAGAATACAACCATAAAAACCAACTGAAAACACACTGCAAAGTTGCTAATTTAAACCAAAACCACTTGCATTTTTTCCCATTATGCACTGTGTGGGCAGGATTTTTTTATATTTTGCACACTTTATAGACATTCTCGCATATCTAGGCCCATAGGTACCACTCACCATCTGAGTGAGCTGAACTCATCACTTAGTTTTCTGGCACTGATCATGAGCTCAAAGCCGTAGAGCTACGGCATGGACCTCTAAAAGGTTAATGCCAATTTCATAAATATTGCAGAACTTGTTGTATCCATCATTTATATCCGTCTCTTGTAATATTGTATACTATTCAGTTTATTACTAATATTGCTTTAACCCCTTGACTGTCGCAACCCCCAATCCTGAAGTGTCTCCTGGTGTCGCAAAATTTCAAAAAAAGAAAAAAAATATTTTTTCTTATGAAATGGTAGAGAATCTTTTCCCAATTGTAATGACACCAAAAACATGAAATTTGATGGAAAACTGATGGAATTACACTCTCGCGAAGTTAGCGACCTCGGCGATATTTACAAACCGGCGATTTTGCCCACTTTGACCCCTATTTTCGGCTAAATTCCATTGATCCAGTCGACCAAACTCATAGGTACTTCTTTAGAACTCCATTTTTTCTATCAATTGAGTACAAGAAACTGCCCATTTACCGATTTCAACTACCCAATAACGTGGTCAGAAATTTGCAATTTGGCCAATTTCACGAAAATTAAAAAATATGACAATTTCAAAATACGGTCCAGAATGAACAATGCAGACATTCCTGGCTCTAAAATAACATTTTCTTTGTTCATCAGTCACATCTCCAAGCCCCTCTGATATTACTCTTGCTTTCTATTTTTGAATTTTTATTCAAACAAAAAATAGAAGATTTACTGTTATGCAGACTACTGTAATAATTGTATAAATAACATCAACCCATTCATGACTTCATATTAGAATGGCTAGTTGGACATTTATTGGATAATGACATCGTTTGTTTACTTTCGAACATCGGCAAAAATCAAACATTTCCCATATTTTGAGCTCCATTTCCAGGTTCTTTTTATAGTAAAATCAGTCAAAATCACCTTTATTTCTATAATATGTTTTCCATTCTATCAAATGAGACTAAGAAACCGAGAATACAACCATAAATACTACACGAAAATAGACCACAAAGTCGGCATTTTAATTAAAAAACATAACATAAGAAAGGAGGACCACTGCAGCAGGCCCATACTCGGCAGGTCCTTTACAATCCATCCCACTAACAAAACATTTGCCCAACCCAATTTTCAATGCTACCCAAGAAATAAGGTCTGATAACTCAGTCCACTCATTTGCAAGTCCCAATCAAATCCAACCCCTCCCACTCATATATTTATCCAACCTAAATTTGTAGGCAGGAGAGGTGCAGCAGTCGTAGGTGGTGTCACATTTGTCCAATGTGGAAGTAGGTCGTGCCCAAGGGTTAGGGAAGCGAAGAATTCCCAAGTGTTAAGATCCCAAGAAGTTGCAGTGTCTGACAGGATTGTAGATGAATGGTTCAGAGAACCGACATGTTAAATTAGACACATGTGCAACTCTTGGGTATCTTTATTGAGGAAACGTTTTGCCACACAGTGGCTTCATCAGTCCGTACAAAGGAGAAACTTGAACAGGGGGAGAATGAGGTAATCAATCCCTCAACCTTGAGTCGATGTGGTCAGTCCATCGAGTCGGAGTGACCGGTCGGAGTTTTTTTTTTCTCATTATGCACTGCATGCTCCAAGATTTTTTTTATATGGTGCACACTGACCACACAGACCCATTCTCTCACATGTGGGCCTACCAGCTTTCTCCTGCTTGATTTGAAACCGCTAGAATTTATGAGTATATATACGTCAAACACGGTACCTCGTAAGACGTATATTTACAATGTCGACAGTCAAAGGGTTAAAGCAGTTGTTCCTGTTTGTGTTTCTTTTTCCTCTCCTGGGTTATATTTAATAGCATATGTTAACTCCAGTGAAACATGATCACTTTTTTCAAGTGGGTTACGATAACTTGCTGAATATTTCTTCCAGTGTTCAAGTAAATACCAGGTTGGGTACTGACAGTGTGTTACATTCTCTTATTTATATGCTGTTGCATAAAAAACCCAGTCATTATGTTAGGTAGTGATCTCTGTGGCATCCATTGCTGTTAGTTTCACGTGTGGACACATTGTCCTCGTGTAATTTGTGGTTTTAGATTAAACTTTGGTGATAACTAGGGTCAGAAAGTTTTCTAAAATACGAGTAAGTGGAATTTTTTTACAATAGTCAGCTCTTGCAAAAAGTGTTTATATAATGTGATTTTTTGCAAATGCAATTGACAAATTGATTTTGCAAAAATTGAATAGCACGTACTGTGAAGACTTTTCACATTCTTAAATTTTGGATGCATTTTTTCAATCACACTTCAAAAAAAGAAATGCACTATATAGAGGGCCTTTTTAAAAGAGCTTATTGTAGTTTTAAACTTTTTTTTTGTTACAAGCTGATGTAGTGTTATTATAAAGTTTGCATTTGTTAATCTGATATAACTTATTTTTGCAGGTTCACTGGTTCGTCCCAAGGTGGTACGCTCGGTCCACTACTGTCCCACCACCAAGAAGACATTAGAACGACGCTACACAGACATGACATCATATGAACCATACCCATCGTCGGCGCTGTACCCGACTAAAGATGAAGATGGTGGGCTCAGCAAAGTTATTCATGCACCATTGCTGTAGTTATAAGTTGCTTGTTTATCTGGAGTTTCTGGAGAGAGTTCCGGGGGTCAACGCCCCCGCGGCCCGGTCTGTGACCAGGCCTCCTTAGGTCAGTGTCCCAGGATGCGACCCACACCAGTCGACTAACACCCAGGTACCCATTTTACTGATGGGGAACATAGACAACAGGTGAAAGAAACACGTCCAATGTTTCTACTCTGGCTGGGAATCGAACCCAGGCCCTCACCGTGTGAAGCAAGAGCCTTAACCACCAGGCCACCAGAACTTTTACAAGCTTGTGTCTGAGTCTGATACATGTACATTAGAGACAGATTGACAGTTTCTGGTACCATAGGAACTGTTTCCCAACTAATAAACATTCACTTGCCTCAAAGCACTATGTATAAACACGCAACACATCCTTGCCTAGTACCAACTTGTACTATTTTTTTTTTTTTTTACACAGGGTTTGACAAGGTTAGGTTCAAGATCCCTAGCTTTATTGACAAGCTATTTACAGGTTAAAGATTCCTAACTTTATTGACAATCTATGGGGAAATGTTCTCTACTCTTTTATACTAATCACTTACCTTTCTACCTATTGTCACATTGTGTTGTATTGCTCCATGATGCAGCCTGTCAAGTGTCTTTTGCAACTTGACTGCAACGATTGGCTCGTGTCTTATCCAAGTACTGTTCACTTAGGTGCATCATTGCAACCACAAAATCATACATGCATTTGTTTTACTAAATGCACTGTGTTCTGCAGTATGCTTAAAATCACTGTTTTTTGCCTGTGTTTTAGAAGATGGAAACATCTTTTTGGGAGAGAAGAGAGGAATTTTATAGGTGCAAGTCATTGTCTGAACCACTATTCTCATATTAAAGTTGCCCCCCCCCCCCAAAAAATCAAAATTGCGAAGAGGAACCTAAAAACGTTTTGCCTGTGGATGGGTTTTCCAGGAGAAGTCCCTCTATGCAATTGTGAATTTTTAGCCACTTATTGACATTGTACCATTTGTTTCCATATTAACCCTTTGACTGTCGCAACCCCAAATCCTGGTGTCGAAGAATATTAAAAAAAAAAATTATTTTTTTTCTTATGAAAATGTTAAGAATTTTCTAATTGTTTTAAGCCCCCCCAAAAGTTTTTGCGATCAGTAATTACAAAGATATAGAAGAGTAAAGTTGGCAGAAAATGAGCCGCATACAGTAACAGCGGCGAATGCCACTCACTCGGTAAACTTTGGTTTACTTGCATTGGAAGGTTTTTTTTTTTTTTTTTTCACTATTTTATTTTTTCCACATAACTTACATGGCCTGCAAGACCAAAGTAAGGTGCAATGTACATATATACACTCGTTGTATACAACACAATAAGCGCACAAACATAATTATCAATATATTGTTTACAAAACTTGTTTACACAAACAATACAAAAAATTTATTACTATTGTTCTATAATATATATACAAATGTACAGTCACTAGACGTATTCCTAGAAGTTCTGCAGCTTGTGGAACTCTTTGAAACATGGTTTCATACACAGTGGTGTTTTACACTCCTCACACATAAAACTAGTGCCTGTGTTTTTGTGGGCATTTTTTTTTTTTTTTGTATGTGCACAGACAAAATGCCTTGTCTGAGCAGTTTTCTTCCAAGTAGTGGCAGGCAGTTGTGTTAAGTAGTGGCAGGCAGTTGTGTTAAGTAGTGGCAGGCAGTTGTGTTAAGTAGTGGCAGGCAGTTGTGTTAAGTAGTGGCAGGCAGTTGTGTTAAGTAGTGGCAGGCAGTTGTGTTAAGTAGCTATCCTAGGTAAATGTGCTGAGTCAGGGTCCCACAGCTGTCAAAATAACATTGTCTCATTACTCACTCCCCCTACTGCCTGTCAATACGATGGGGTTGGATGCTCGCTTCCCCTCCATCCTCCTAGTAATTATCTTCCTTTCTACTACTTCCTTCTCCTTCCTTTCTTTCTTTCTTCTGGTATCCTGGGCATTGCTTTCTGTCACAAACTCCTCAAAACCATGAAACTGATCTTCACTGGTACTTCCATCTGTGTTAGAGCATCACTTGTGAAGAGAAGAGTCCCAGATTCGCCCGGGAGTCACATATTTCTTACCGCTAGGCATGCTGAAAAGACTACTGAAATGGCATTCCCACAATGCACCACTGGCTCCTCGATTTTTTTTATGTGGTGCACACTGACCATGGAGACCCATTCTCTTACATATGGGCCTACCAGCTTTCTCTTGCTTGATTTGAAGCCGTTAGAATTTTGGTGTATTAATAAGTCAAAGACGGTGGCTCGTAAGACGTATATATATGACCGAAACAGTCAAAGGGTTAAAAGTGGCCAAAAAAAAAAAAAAAAAAAGATAGATGGGGCTGTGAAATTTAATTGGCAAAGGAATTGGACAAATCTAAATTGTTGTTTCCAAGCATGAGTCATTTAGTGCAAAGCATAGTGGAGGCTCGATCCTCTGTTTGACAATTACAACCCAGTTTGTGATTAGTCAGATTGTTCTTGAAGAATGCATGATGAAACTTAGTGAGTGGCTTGCTAGTCTGCTCAGTGTATCACTACAAACACTTGCATTACTTGATGCTGTACTTGTAAGATGTCTAACATGATTCCTATATACAAAACTTGAGAGACATCTCTTATCAAATCACTACCCATTCAGCCTGATCTCAGTGGGGGGAAAATTTAGAATCTAAGTTATTAGATATAATTAGAAGCCACCTTAATGAGCATAATTTCATTAAAGACTCGACTACAGATAAAGCATTACCAAATTTTTTGCCAATATGCTGTTTTATGCTGATACTGATACCATCAGAATTAGCCAATACCTACTGATACCAACATTTTGGTACAGCCATTTTCTGAACATGGGTAATATTTCTTATTTGTTATGAGTTTTGTAGTTATTCCCTGTCATTTGTATTTACACGTGTGAGTATATTTGAGTTGATATAATGTATGATATTTGCAGGTAATTTACTAGAGACAGAATATGGCCTGTGTATTTACAAGGATCACCAGACTATAACCATCCAGGAGATGCCAGAGAAGGCTCCGGCAGGCCAGCTGCCACGTTCTGTTGATATTGTCTTGGATAATGACTTGGTTGACAAGTGTAAACCTGGAGATAGAGTTCAGGTAAATGTTACAAACCTTCATACATTTATTTCAGTCTTTAGAAAAACTAAATAAAGTTGCTTTTCTGCAAGGCACTTGAAGGCTGTCAGGGAGATGCTGGAGGGAACTTTACAAAGTGAGAATTTATTGAGAGATGGTTATGTATTTTAGTAGCACTGTTTGGTGTCAGTGCAACCTGGTCATGGACCAGGCCATGGGGTGTTGACTAACGAAATATCCTCCAGGTATTAGCCTCGCTAATACCGTTTTTTCTGTATTTCTCGGGAATTTTGAAGTATGGCGTGCACAGTCTCGTGTAAAGTCACTGTTAAAGTAAGTCACTTTTCCCTCTTCACTACAAGTTGCAATATAATCACCAAAGGGAGTGTTAAGTTTCTGCCTCTTGTACTGGTGGGTATATGCAGTGTACACAGACCTTGCCAGGTAGTGTTCCACTTTGGATACAGAGTCTACCATTGTAAGTTACTTTTCATCACAGTTGAAGAAAAAAGTGCCAGTTTTAATAAATATGTGCCTCTGCTCTTAAGTTCTCAAATTTTACCACTTAAATCTTTTTTAGTGACAGTCCGTACTGCTGTGGAATGGATTTTCTTGAATGAAAATTTGTGCCACAGGAATTGTATTAAATGCAGTCAGGTGCAACAATATCTTCGAAAAAAAAAATATTCTTAGTGTTTCACTTCCAAGAACCAGTCATCACAGCACTACCTTGTGTTCTTAATAAACGCATCGGTTCTCGCTGATTCTCTCGTGAGTTCATTTTCAAATTCAAATTATTCCAAATTATTACATTGTATTAAAGAAGCAGTTACTCTCTAACTGCTTCTTTAACACAGTTAAGGTTTGAACAACTATTTTCTTTGAGGTTCCAGGCTGAGGTTATGCAGACGGTAACTCAACACTGCCACCAGCCTTGAAACGCTGCATCCAGTCCCTCACTGAATGGTCACACACACAAAGATTCTCCACTATTTCTTTTGTCTGGTGCCCAGCTTTGTGAGGCCCTATGATATGAGCTATAGTTTCAGGTGTTAACCTTTAAACTGTCCAAACGTAGATCTACGTTTTTTCAACATTTGAAAGTATGTAAAAAAAGTAGATCTTTTTTTTTACATTTGAAAACATGTAAAAAACGTAGATCTACTTTTGGAGCACTACACATGTGAACGTAGATCTATGTTGGACAGTTTAAGGGTTAAAGACTTCTTTTTACCCATAATCAAACGTGTACAGCCCCAAAACAAAATGGAACACCGAACAAAAGATGGGGCGGATGAGAGAACAGTGCAATGCTTCCTCTCACCACGGCAGCCACGTGAGCAGTGAGAAGTCACTGTGAAGTGTGGCTGCAGGCCGAGATGTCATGATTACGGCTGCTATTTAGCAGAATGCACTGATGAAAAAAGACCCCCCTGTATGGTAGGCCTTAGATTTTCGCCATGGCATTATGCCGGGGCGCTCACTCGGCATAATGTCGTGACGAGCAATGTAGATACACGTATAGATAAATATAATATAGATATAGATACAGATAAATATCGATACTTGAGTTCTGGAGATGGGAAGTACAGTGTCTGCACTCTGTTGCAGTTTTATAACTGTAGTGTAAAGCATCCCTCTAGCAACAGTGATGGAGTGAATGATGATGAAACTTTTTCTTTTTCGGGCCACCCTGCCTTGTTGGGAATCAGCCGATGTGTTAATAAAAAAAATAATATAGATATACAGATACAGATTAAGATGCAGATAGATTAAGATGCAGATAGATAAAGATGCAGATATAAAGATACAGTGGACCCCCGGTTCGCGATACTAATCCGTTCCTGAGAGCTCATCGTAAACCAAAAATATCGGAAAGCGAATCAATTTTCCCCATAAGAAATAATGGAAATCAAATTAATTGTGCAAGACACCCAAAAGTATGAAAAAAAAAAACTTTCACAACATGAAATATTAAGTTTAATGCAATAGAATAGTAATTACAATAACAATAACAATAAATAACAATAAATAATGAAAGAATAATTGACACTTACCTTTAATGAAGATCTGGTGATGATTGATGGGATGGGAGGAGGGGAGAGTGTAGATGGTGTTAGCATTTAGAAGGGGAATCCCCCTCCATTAGGACTTGAGATAGCAAGTCCTTTTCTGGGGTTACTTCCCTTCTTTTAATGCCACTAGGACCAGCTTGAGAGTCACTGGACTTCTGTCGCACAACATAACTGGCAGCCTCACCATGCCTAATCACATTATGTATACCACTACGATTCTTAAATCTTTCAAACCAATCTTTGCTGGCCTTAAATTCACTCGCATCACCACTAGTTGCAGGCAGTTTTTTTCACCAAATCGTCATGCAACTGCCTAGCCTTTTCACAAATGATTGCTTGAAAGATGCTGTCTCCTGCTATCTGTTTTTCATTTATCCACACCAATAACAGTCTCTCAACATTTTCTAACACTTGGGGTCACTGTTTCATAATCACAGTTGCACCTTTTTCAAGAACAGCTTCCTTGATTGCTGTTTTCTTGCTCACTATAGTAGAGATGGTTGATTGGGGTTTACTATACAACCTGACCAGCTCCGACACACGCACTCCACTTCGTACTTTGCAATTATCTCTTTCTTCATTTCAACAGTCATTAGCACCCTTGGTCTCGAAGGGTTGGCACTGGGAGCATTCTTGGGGCCCATGTTGACTTATTTTGCAAAAACAGGCACCAAAAACAGTGATAATATGGATAATATGGAATGTACCGAATGTATCCTTAGATGCGCGCACACTGGCTGACTTGTAAACACTGGCACACATGGGGCAGTTCAGGCCACACATAGACACGTCTCATACGAACCACATCGCATACCGGGTTTTGTATCAGGAAGTGAGGCAAATTTTCTGCGATATAATGCATCGGTTACCGGATTTATCGGATACCGATAGCATCGCGAACCGGGGGTCCACTGTACAGATATATAGATACAGATAGATATATAGATACAGATAGATATATAGATACAGATAGATATATACTTAGGTCACACTAAACATACATGTACACATTTATTTATACACACTCGTTGAGTTTTCTTTGATTTTATCTTAGTTCTTGTTCTAATTACTTTTCATTTTATATCCATGTGGAAGTGGAATAAGAATCTTTCCTCCGTAAGCCATGCGTGTTGTAAGTCAACTAAAATGCCAGGAACAATGGGCTAGTAACCCTTTTTCCTGTAAAAATTACTAAAAAGAATAATAAGAAGAAAATTGTCAAAGTGGGAAGTTTGAATGTGCTTGGATGTTGTGTGAATGATAAGAAAGATGATTGTGGATGTTATGAATGAGAAGAAGCTGGATATCCTAGCTTTAAGTGAAACAAAACTGAAGGGGGTGGGTGAGTTTCAGTGGAGAGGAATAAATGGGATAAGGTCAGGGGTTTCTAATAGAGTTAGAGCTAAAGAAGGAGTAGCAATAATGTTGAAGGATAAGCTATGGCAGGAAAAGAGGGACTATGAATGTATTCAAGGATTATGTGGAGTAAAATATAGGTTGGATGTGACAAGTGGGTTATAGTAAGCATTTATGCACCTGGGGAAGAGAGAAGTATAGAGGAGAGAGAGAGATTTTGGGAAATGTTGAGTAATTGCATGGGGAGTTTTGAACCAAGTGTGAGAGTACTTGTGGTTGGGGATTTTATTGCTAAAGTGGGAAAAAATGTTGTGGAGGGAGTAGTAGGTAAATTTGGGGTGCCAGGGGTAAATGAAAATGGGGAGCCTTTAATTGAGCTATGTGTAGAAAGAGGTTTGGTAATAAGTAATACATATTTTATGAAAAAGAGGATAAATAAATATACAAGTTATGATGTAGCACGTAATGAAAGTAGTTTGTTAGATTATGTCTTGGTGGATAAAAGGTTGATGGGTAGGCTCCAGGATGTACACGTTTATAGAGGGGCAACTGATATATCGGATCATTATCTAGTTGTAGCTACAGTTAGAGTAAGAGGTAGATGAGAAAAGAGGAAGGTGGCAACAACAAGAAAGAGGGAGGTGAAAGTGTATAAACTAAGGGAGGGGGAAGTTCAGGTGAAATATAAGCAACTATTGGCAGAAAGGTGGGCTAGTGCAAAGATGAGTAGTGGGGGGTTGAAGAGGGTTGGAATTGTTTTAAAAATGCAGTATTAGAATGTGGGGCAGAAGTTTGTGGTTATAGGAGGGTGGGGGCAGGAGGAAAGAGGAGTGATTGGTGGAATGATGAAGTAAAGGGTGTGATAAAAGAGAAAAAGGTAGCTTACGAGAGGTATTTACAAAGCATAAGTGTTATAAGAAGAGTAGAGTATATGGAGAGTAAAAGAAAGGTGAAGAGAGTGGTGAGAGTGCAAAAGGAGAGCGGATGATACAGTGGGAGAGGTACTGTTAAGGAATTTTAATGAAAATAAGAAAAAATTTTGGAGTGAGTTAAACAAGTTAAGAAAGCCTAGGGAACAAATGGATTTATCAGTTAAAAACAGAGAAGGGGAGTTAGTGGATGGGGAGATGGAGGTTTTCTGTAGATGGCGAGAATATTTTGAAGAATTTTTAAATGTCGACGAAGAAAGGGAGGCGGTAATTTCGTGCACTGGCCAGGGAGGTCTATCATCTTTTAGGAGTGAAGAAGAGCAGGATGTGAGTGTGGGGGAGGTGTGTGAGGCATTACGTAGAATGAAAGGGGGTAAAGCAGCTGGAACTGATGGGATCATGGCAGAAATGTTAAAAGCAGGGGGGGGGGACATAGTGTTGGAGTGGTTGGTATTTTTGTTTAATAAATGTATGAAAGAGGGGAAGGTACCTAGGGATTGGCGGAGAGCGTGTATAGTATAAGTTTACTGAGTATACCAGGAAAAGTGTACAGTAGGGTTATTATTGAAAGAATTAGAGGTAAGACAGAATGTAGAATTGCGGATGAACAAGGAGGTTTTAGAGTGGGTAGGGAATGTGTAGATCAAGTGTTTACATTGAAGCATATATGTGAACAGTATTTAGATAAAGGTAGGGAAGTTT